GTTCCTGGAACGGAACGTACTTTATTTGGACATTTTTGGATAGGAACATCAGACGTTCCCTCCTTTTTGGGAGCTATGTGGTTATGGATAACCACCCCAAAACTTTGCTCTTTGTCAGAGAGCAAATGTATCTACTAGGTTGCCTCCCAGTCAGCGCTTAGTTTAATGTCTTTAGTTAGACATGGTACTTACCTCTCAAGGGGTTTCAGAAATGGTTGAGGGGACCTCAGTGTTCCCTGGTAGTGATCCTGGTGTTCTGGTTTGAAGGTTGGCAGCAATCTGCCCCAGATGGGACTCAATGTTCCTGACCACTGCATCATTCCTGGTGACATATTCCTTGACATAATTTTCCAGGGTGTTGATGCGTTGGTCATCTCTGTGGAACGGAACGTAGTTGTTTCTTCTTTGTTCAAACGTTCCACTACTACTACCTTGCTGATACTGCTGCTGATTGTTGTTGAATGGTCTCTGGGTAATGGGTGGCCTCCATTGGGTGTTGTGGTTCTGATCCTTAATGATAGTTCCTCCAGGGCTTGAATGTGTATTTCGTCCTGCTTGTTGATTGTCTCTGGTGAAGTTCCTATTGCCAAAATTTTCTGCATAACACACCAATGCAGTGGATGGGCAGTCTGTTGAGTCATGAAGGTCACCACAGGCTGAGCATGGTTCTGTTTCAGTTGCTGTGAGTTGTAAGACTTCCATCCTTGGTGCTGCTTGGTCAGCTCTCAGGTTCTTCACTTCATTCATGAGTGATGCCAGCTGGGCTTCCATGGCTGTTTGTTTATCCAGTTGTAGCATGCCTGGCTTCCTCACTGGGCTCACTCTGTCTATTGGCCATTGGAGACATCTTTCAGCAGTCCCTTCTATGATTTCGTACCTTGATTCAAGTGTTCCAGTAAAGAAATATCCTCCTGTAACAAAATCTAAGTGAGATTGAGAAGTATGGTCAAGTCCCTTATAGAAAGATTGTAACACTCCCCAATTCTCTACCCCATAGTTTGGACATTTTCTTAGGATGTCCTTGTATCTCTCCCATGCTTCATAGAGATTTTCTCCATAAAACATTCTGAAGTTAGAGATTTCAGCTCTAACATCAGCTTGTCAAGACATTGGGAGAAACCTCTCTATGAACTTGTTAGAGAGTTCTTCCTATGTGTGGATTGATCCAGGGGTGAGAGTTTTCATCCATGTTTTAGCTTTTACGCCCAAGGAGTGAGGGAACAACCTCATTCTCATGCTATCCTCTGCTACACCCTCAGCTTTAAAATTATCACAAATATCTTGGAATGTTGTAAGGTGTGTGTAAGGATCTTCTGCAGAGAGTCCATTGAAGACCCCTGCTTCCATAATCATGTGGAACATGATAGGTTTTAGTTCAAAATTTAGTGCTACAGGGGGAAGGATTACTCCCCTATCTGGTCTGTTCCTGAAAGGAGCAGCCAAAGTTCTGAAGTTCTGTTCAGGGGGAACCTCTTCATTGTTATTATTGTGATCAGCCATGTTTTCAGGAAATTCTTCCCTGAGGTTCCTTATTCTCCTATGGAGTGTACATTCTGGCTCAGGATCAAAGAGAAACTCAGGTACTTCAATGGAGTGGTCAGAGTCTGTTTCAAACTCTTCACTCATAAACCAATAGCATAGGGTATATATATGCATAGCAGATTCAGTGATAAAGAGAAAAAAATATAAAAGTAAAGTCAGATATACAATATATGTGTTAGAAAACAATGATAAGAACAACAATTAGTGTTTCTCTCCCCGGCAACGGCGCCAAAAACTTGTTGGGTGGTTTGCTGATGGTGGAAAAATATAAGTTCTGATAGGGGACGTTCCTCTGTTCTTGCAGAACACAGATTCGTCCCTTAGTTCCAACCCAAGTGCGCAAGTGCACGCATCAAGTAATAAAGGGAGTATTAATGCCCAAATTATCGTTCCCACGAGGATAGAGTGCTAATTATTATTTTATCACTGTTTATAAAGAATGAAAATGAGAAGAAAAGTTAGTAAATGAACTGTCTAGTCAAACGTTCCCTACTGTCTTGACAACGTTCCTCAGGAACAGTAGGTTCAATCTGATGGCAAACAGTTGCTCGTTGCGTTATATATATGATCCTTCCTGTTTAGAAGGTGAGATAATAATCATTGGAGTTTTTATAAGTACTAAATAAAATAAAATAAAAACTACTGAAACAGAAATAACTATAATCAAGAGACAACAGGATGGTGGTTAAAACAGTTTAATAGAAGGAACGAATTCACTGCTTCACTCTTGAAGGGGCTGTTTTCTCTGCTCAAGACTTAGCACCTTTTGGCTTTGTCCCAGTTTCTTTGCCTGCTAACTCTGATTCCTCAACTCATGGTCTAGATGGCTCACAAGTTTCTATATTCCTATGGCTCCCTTGACTCCAACAGGTACTTAGTTCAGAACCTTAAAATGGACGAGTTGGCCCCTTATTCCTAAGGTGATCAGTAGCGTTTTTGCCATGACATCTACCTTCCCCCAATGGCTAAGCTGTCTGAAATCCCTTCCTTATGGAAGTTCCTTTCTCAGTATGTACCCAATTTCCATTGGCGCATAATGAATATAGCTTACTTAGCCAAATAAATACAAAAAGCTTCGGTCAAGAGTTTTGAAAATAGTTCTTTAAGAGTTTCACAGTTTACCCGTTCCACAGATAGTTCAGCTCATGGCTGATAGTTTAAACATAACTATTCTCAACCGAGATCACATAGACCCGAGATTCAGTCATGAGATAACGATTTGAACTAGCTTTAGCTTCAGCGGCACATTTTATCTGTATGCCCATTTTTGTTGTTCTGCATCGTCTAGCTTTTGTGAAACAAAATGAGCTTAGTCGGATTTTCTTTGAAATTCTTAAAATTTATCGTCGATTTTGGAGTTCGTGAATCGGTTCTGAATCTGTATGCCCATTTCTTGGTTTACAAGATTTACCCGGGTACACTCATCCGTACCCGGGTAAATAATTCAAGCAATCAAGAACAATACTCGGGTACACACTTTTCTACCCGGGTAAACAAAAAATTTCAAAAGATACCCGGGTAGGTAGGGGTGTACCCGGGTAGGCTTCGTGGTCAACGGTCAAACAGGGGCAGATTGGTGTTATGTTTTTTGATGAGGTTAAATTTTTGAAATAGTTTATAATGAAGGTCAATTTGGTAATTAATTATTAGTAAAGGGTTATAAGGGTCAAAAAGCCCAACACCCCCACACTGAAAGTTTATTGATGTACTAACTGATAAGTCCTTAATCCACTTTGTATTAAGGGCCAAACTGAGCAAGTAATTAATCTAAATTTAGCCAAAACACATGAAAATTGTAATTTAATTGTTAATTCATTTTCAGGAATACTTTCATAAAATTATTATATTTTTTAGGAAATTTCTTCAAGATAGAAGGCTTAAAATAAGAAAAGAAAAAACAACCCAAAAAGTAATGCGAAGACTTTCTTAAGGCTTAAAATAAGAAAAGAAGGCTTAACTGATAAGTTGGGTTCTACCCTAACTTCAACAACAAAAGAAAAAAAATCAATACAATTCATTTTAATTAACTATGATTTTAGTTGGTTTTTAATCAATTTCCTTGAAGTGTTTCAGCTAGTACTGTTCATTAATCAGAGCATACGGAAAAAAATAGAAAAAGAATGGAGAGATTACAATAACGAAAGACCAGCATTATGTGGTTGGAAATAATTGTCACTTAAACTTTAGCAACATAAATTGAAGGAGGTGCTACTTATTTTAAGTTTGTAGCCAATAAAAGAAAAGTTCTAATCATTTCAAAAAAAAAACGAAGATCTTCATATGGAAGTGCTTTATCATGTAATTGAAGCATAATTTATCTGAGAAGGAATATTCAACATCTCAAAGAATAAACTGGATCCAGGTGGTTAAGCAACACAAGTAAAACAATGAAGGCATGATAACGAGTCAAAGATGATAAAGAGCTGAGGTGACAACTTGGCTATATGGACATACACTAAAGGACAAAGCATAACACAAATAAAACTAGAAAATTCTTACTAGCATCCAATACTTTTGTCGTTCTCATAATCTAAGTCATACAAACAGAAGATTGAAGTAAAGTGGAATGGAAAGAATAGAAACCTGTCAATCATCACTAGAATAACGTTAAATTTAGCCAATATAGAGAATTAATTTAGCGCCCATGATATACATCTGGCTTAGAAATTTTGCTAGATATAACAAACTAAAAAGTATCATGGATCACGTTCTTAGAAAACGTGAATCATTTCATTCATGGAAAATATAAAGTTACAAATGAAGCCTTTTGCTGTGTTTTCATTATATACATCATCTCTAAACACGAAGAGAAAAATAACTAACTAATAGCAAAGTGTACACGTCAGCTAACAAACTAACTGACTAAAAATAACCGATTGCTATATACTAGCTAACTGACTCACTGTTATCAGTATTGGAGTATGTTAACACCCCCCGCAAGTGGGACTATGTATGCTCATAAGTCCCAACTTGGAGACAGCATTCTGAAAAGCAGTAGCATATAAAGTTTTGGTAAAAACATCAGCTATTTGAATTGCAGAAGGTATAGGTAGTACTAGAGAGCCCATTTGGTAACATAATAGATACAGGTTCAATCTTGTGAATGAAGGAAAAAGCTCTACGAAAGTTTGCTATATAGTCTGTGACTCACTGTTATCAGTATTGGAGTATGTTAACACCCCCCGCAAGTGGGACTATGTATGCTCATAAGTCCCAACTTGGAGACAGCATTCTGAAAAGCAGTAGCATATAAAGTTTTGGTAAAAACATCAGCTATTTGACTTGCAAAAGGTATAGGTAGTAATAGAGAGCCCATTTGGTAACATAATAGATACATCGTTCTGTACCATAGAATCAAATTTTTACCTGTAACGCTTGGAATGTGATCAGCTGACACTTTTTGTGCCATATTGGTTGAATGTACAGATATAGGTTGCTGCATGAAACTCACGAACTCATCATACTTTGCTTTTGGAATTGACACTTGCTGCTCCAAACTGTTCCTGTCGACTATCTGATGACTTATGTTCCAGTTCTACTGTGTGAATTACATTACTAGAATTCTGGAAAGTTTTGGATCTATATCCTTGTGGAAAACCGTGTTTGAAATAACACGATTCAATAGTGTGATTGGTTTTCTTACAGTGAGTGCAAAACTTAGATCCTGAGATTTGTCCTCTTCCTCCATTGAACCTTCCTCTTCCTCTGTATGAAGAGCCACGACCACGAAAATTCTCTGTGGAACTTGCAAATTTTTTTGTCTCAGATGCATTTCCACCATGAACATCTAATTGAAGTTGTCTTTCCTGTTGCATAACTAGAGAGAACGCCTTGTTGATGGTTGGAAGAGGAGTCATTAACATGATTTGAGACCTAACATGAGCAAATTGCTCATTAAGACCTCTCAGATTCCTTATGACTTGATCTCCTTCTCTGTATTCACGAATCTTGGTTGAACTTCCACATGTGCACGTTGGAAGTGGCCTAAGGTTGCTCAGTTCGTCCCATAGAGTTTTCAGGCTTGTAAAATATTCTGATACAGTTTTGTTACCTTGATTCATTTGATACAGGTTTTCTTGGAGATCTGAGATCCGAAACATATCGGATTGTGAGAACCGATCCTTCAAATCATTCCAAACTTCATTTGCTTTGCCGATCCAGATTATAGACTGGATAATTGAATTATCTATTGAACGATGCACCCAAGACAGCACCATCATGTTGCATCCCTCCCATGCTACATACTTCACATTATCTTCTGATGGAGTAGTTATAGTACCATTCACAAAGCCAAGCTTGTTCTTCAAAATCAGAGCCACCTTTATTGCACGTGAACAAGAGTGATAATTCCTTCCATTCATCGATGGAGTAACTAGGATCAAAGATGGAGATTCGTTTGGGTGAAGATAATAGGGATCTGAAATTTGGTTTGATTCTGCCATTGTAGCAGTGAAAAAGAAAAGGAAACAGAGTATTGATTGCGAAAGTCGATGGATGGACCAGAGCTTTTCCATGTAAAGAACCTTGGGATACACCATCCCAAAAGCTAGCTCAAAGGGTGGGAGTGCCCAAGGCCTTATAAACTCCACATTAGTTGCTCATACAACCAATGTGGGACTATATATCTCAACATGCCCCCTCACGCAAGAGCCCTTTGGGCTAGAAGCGTGGAATTGCACATACCCAATTTTTGGTTTACCTTTTTGTGCTTTTTATTTTAATTCCACTTTAAAGTGAGAAACGGTGAGGATTGAACTTGTGACCTTATAGTCACTCAAGCTCGGATACCATCTTAGAAAGCGTGAATCATTTCATTCATGGAAAATATGAAGTTACAAATGAAGCCTTCTGCTGTGTTTTCATTATATACATCATCTCTAAACACGAAGAGAAAAATAACTAACTAATAGCAATGTGTACACGTCAGCTAACAAACTAACTGACTAAAAATAACCGATTGCTATATACTAGCTAACTGACTCACTGTTATCAGTATTGGAGTATGTTAACACACGTTAAGCTTAATTTTCCATGACATACATTAGAAAGCAATTTAAAAACACAATGCTACAAATAAAATAATAATAATAATAAGGGAAAATTGAGTACTCCAGATTGTGGATTAACTAAATCAAGCTTCAATTTATAATTTTACCATTCGGAAGAAAGGAGGCAGAAATAATCATTAAATTGAGAAAAGAAAAGAAAGGAAGAGATTGATGAAGGGTGAAGGAATAGAAACCTCAGCTAGAGTTGGAGATTAGTCGGCAATCATTGATGGAAGGATGAGTAAGGGGTTGCTACAACACAAAGGTAGAGGGATTTGTGAGGGGTGTGCAAAATAACCAAAAAACTGAACCGAACTGAACTGCACTTAAAATAACCGGTTTTTAAAATCCAGTTCATAAACCGAACCGGTTTTTAAAGAACTCGTTCATGCACCGAACCAGTTTAAGAACCGAACCGAACCGTTTCCAAACCGAACTGATTTTTATAACTTTTATTTTTTTAATTTTTTAATTTTTTTCTTTTCAAAATAAGGTCGATCCGAACCAGTTTTGAACCGAACAATTTCCAACCGAACTGAACCACTTCCGAACCGAACTGTTTAAACCAATTCGATTCGATTTTCAAAAAATTCTGTTCAGTTTGACCCATGCACACCTCTAGATTTGGGGGTGTTGCAACTGTTACAGAAGACAGTGGGGGATATTATATAACTAAGAGGTTTGAACCCATGTATAGAACAGAAGAGATAATGATTAGAAATATCATACACAGTGCAATTATGAAAAGTTGGAACAGACTTACTTGATGTCAGTATAATGGAATAGACAAATGAATGTATGTAGTATGAGGAATTAAATTCGAGCCCACAAAACGTGTCTCCTTAAGAAAATTTGCCCCCTCACTGATGCCAAAGGTTGATGGACAAGAGTCTCCCACGATAGAACGGATTTCGTCTGAAGAGTGGCGACACTACCAGTCAATAGCCCAAACAAACACAACAATTTCCAGAGGAAGTACACCAGAGGATGAACAGAAATATGCAAATCGGAAGGAAGAAAAATTCTGGCAGAGTTTTAGTGCAAAAAACCGGATAGAATTTCTGGGGAGTTCAGTGTCTATTTATAGATACTGACTGGTAACGATGAACCGCTACTGGCGAGGAACCGCCGTGACTGACGGCCACGTCCGGAGACCGGTTCGGTGAATGTAACACCCTGTATATATCCGGTAATGTTATCATAATATCGTATTAAGCTGCGCTTAATTAAAATGCGGAATTACTTTTTCTTTTCAATTATGATGCCATTAACATTACCAACTTGCTTAATAATCAATTTATTAAAACATCGCCTGTATGTAATTGCAATAAAACAGCTAACTGAAATACCTCATAACATAGATGATATAAGTGTGGCTCTAGTCACGGAACTACAACAACGTAGTCCGGACCATCTAACAGTTTATACAACTCCAAACTAAAAGTACTAACAGAAAGTGTCATGGACAATCCCCATGCTTACTCAAATAAGGCAACATGCCCAACATCAGTCTCAACAACAACATATCATAAATAGCAGAAAACATAAACAACATCCCAAATCCAGTCATGCTAATATAAAGCAGTAAAACATAATCAGCTAAGCTCTGGCCTCCTGCCGCCTGAGGCATCAGTTCCCATACTACCTGATCTTGAAATAAGCATTCCCCAAACGTGGGGTAAGATCTCTAATCTAGAAATCTCAGTAATTCAGTGAGTCCTCAAGGATCTTCCACCCTAAGCTCACTTACATGTGCAATATAAGTTCAAAAGAAATTTATCATTTATCATTTCTAAAACAATGCAATGCAGCAGATAATCATGCCATGTGTGTCAATACTAATCTACTGGCCAGAGACAGTGCAGGTATACGTCTATCACCTACACACCGTGTAAGTACCACTTGCATTCACCCCGGTACACCGTCTTGTATGGCGCTACATACTCAGGCTTCCCGTCAAGATGAAACAACACATGCATATTAAAAGCCATTACATGTAAAGTTCAATCAACATATCAAATATCCAAAAGCATGTACACAGCATGCATAAACCATACCCCCATGGGACATGGTGGAACCACAACATGGCTAAATCGAGGAAACAAAAGCTTACATTGCAAGCTAACTCCAAAAGCCAAGAGTCCACAGCTCAAAGTCCAAACACAGCAGATTCATAATCTGTTATGGACCAACAATACATCAACAACATGCACCACAAGCATACAATATTAAGACAACGCCTTTTCATTACGTTTTCAAGTCTTAAAGCTTCTAACAAAGCCACAAGCCCTTAATCCCATGATTCTGGCTTAATCCATTAAATACAGAAGTTCAACTTCATCAAACTAGGGTCCACAAACCCCCAATAGTCTACTGTACACACAACACAGCTGCTATTCTGCGAAATCCCAGAATATCCGGATATTCCTCGGGACCATATCCGGATATGCAATATCCGGATATCTCACTGGACGTATCCGGATATGCAATATCCGGATATCCAGAATCCTGATCCGGATATCTATTCCGGATACTCAAAACCCATTTCACGACAGAATGCAAAAAATGCATTTCGTGAAGATATACTTCCAAGGTTGGGTTTTTACCGATTTAAAGCGCCTAAACATGCATTTCTAGGTGTGTTCAACATTACTCAACAACAAGTTATCATCTTTAAGCCTTAACATGCATCAAGCTTTCATTTTTAAGTTCAAAGACTCAAGACCAAAGGTGACAAGGCTTACCAAAGCTCAAAACAGAGGTTGGAGGTGCTCTTGGAGCTCACAATCAGCTCCCAAGGTGCTGACTTCAAGGGTGTACGAAAATACCACCCAAGCAAGGATCTTTCTTCACAAAGGAAGCTCCTTGAAGCCTCACAAGCCAAGAACAACACTCCTCAACAAGAATGCCACCAAACCAGAAAACAACTCAGCTCCCACAGCCACCGCAACTCAGAAAAGAGCTCCTTTCACACTCACAATGATCTCTCCCACTCACCCAAGGTACAAAGTGAAGAGAAAAGGAGGAAGAGAGGTCACAAAGCTCACAAAATGGTGGTAAAGCAATGTAACAGTGGAACCAGCAGCTGACCAGCCCCTCACCCACGTAGAGAAACTGTTTTCTAGGGTTTTGTGCCCTTAATAAGGGTATATATAGCCCAAGCCACTTAAACACACAGTATTAACTTTAATTGCTACGCTTAGCATTTTAATCCCAAACTTTGGATTATGAAACTACATAATTTTCTAAGATTTATCATATTTGTTTCGTAATTTTCTAAGTACTTTTCTGGTACGCGCTTTTCCAAGCCAGTACCGGTTTCTAGCATCAGTTCTCATTATTTGGACTTGAAACTTGTTTTACAAGTCCTACATATTATTCTAGTAATTAACATGCACTTACTATAATTTTCCGTGATACTTTTTCGGTACACATTTATACTGACTAGCAGAACCGGTATCTGCATTTTTCTTCCGAAAAGCGACTTTCAGCATTCTTAATCACTTATTATGATTATTAAGCCTCTTAAATAATTATTAGGGTCAATTATGGAATCATTTCCTATTTTCTCGTAATTTATTAATTAAATTCTTTAATTAACGGTGCGGGTTCTTACATTCACCCCACCTTTTTAGGATTTTGACCTCAAAATCAGAAACATACTTGGTCGAAACTCGGGGTGCTGCCGGAGAAGCTCGTCCTCACGCTCCCAAGTACACTCCTCAGGAGTCCTTCCGGTCCACTGCACCTTGATCATCGGAATGATCTTGCTCCTCAGCTGCTTCTCGCCACAATCGAGAATCTTTAGTGGTCCTACGGGAGTCTTTAAGTTCTCCCGAACTTCCACATCATCCGATTGCACCACGTGCGATGGATCTGCTATGTACCTCCGAAGCTGAGACACGTGAAACACGTCGTGGATGTTGGCCAGGTTCGGAGGCAAGGCAAGCCGGTAGGCAACAGGTCCTACTCTACCAAGAATCTGGTATGGCCCAATATATCGCGGGCTCAGCTTCCTCACTCCGAGTGCCCGACCTACACCGGTGACAGGTGAAAGTCTCACAAACACGTGCTCACCCTCACTGAACTCCAGTGAACGATGCTCAACAACAACGTAGTTCTCCTGACGGCTCTACGCCTGCATCAGCTTCCTCTGATCATCTGACCCGACAGATGGAAAATCGGACAAGGTCCAATCTAAACAACTCTGATCTCCAACCTCAGACCAACAGGTAGGTGTATGACACCTCCTACCAAACAGCGCCTCGTAGGGTCCCACACCCAGGCTGGCAAGGAACACACAAACACAAAACTCTACCAATGACAGATACCTATCCCTTGCCGGGCTCCAAGGTGCACGCCCTCGACATGTCCTCCAAGATCCGAAGGGTCCG